GGTTGCCCATTGTCGAACCTTCCACCCCTCTCCGTCTCCGAGACCGAGGTTCTCACGGTCCAGGAAGTGGAGCAGATCCTCTATCGCTTCCTGGTATCCTAATGACCTTGCCTGAGCTTGTTCACATACTGCATTCTTGTACAGGTTCGTGACAGACAGAGCTGCCGCCTTGAATTGTTGGAGGAGTTGCTCTGGAGGTTGCGGGCGGGGTGTCGAGCTCGGGAGAGAGGTGTTGAGGGATCTCATGGAGTCCATGGCAGGTAAAAATGTCAAGGCCCTATTGGGCAATGGGTTTGAGGACAGAAATATTTGTGTTTACGACTTTGTATGTCGTGCGTCGTGCGTCGTGCCTCAGTGGACAAATGGCAATAGAGAAGAGCTTTGAGGTGGTGAAAGAGAGCAGTGGAAGTGGGAGGGATTGCAAGAAGTAAGAAAGCAAGAGGTAAGTCACCCGGGATCAGATATCAGGCAGTTGTTCACCCAGCTGTGTGACAATAAGCACCAAGATGTGTCAACGGAGGAACTTTCAAGGTTGTTGCAGATGACCGCCTTGGCCCGGTAACGAGAAGCCCACTTTCCGATGGAATAATAATATTCCGAACCGTAGGCCCTACTGAAAGGCGGTATCTTCATTTGCCATCGACGCGCTTTGAATACCTTCAATAATCCTAGTCTGGAATTGTTCAATAGCATTCATTCTATGGGATCCCCCTTGATGAGTTGCCCCAAATTTTGATTTATTTTGGACTATACTTAGACTATTCCCCTCTTTTCCTCACCACTCCGACCACAGTTCTTTCTCCCTACATTACGCGATCCGACTAGTCGCGAGCTTCCGATATTCTTTGTTGCACACTCAAAGACGTGTTTAAACAGCGAACTCACCCACGCTCTATTCACCAAAGATAAAACATGGCCCCCGCCCTCGCGTCTGATCCAGTCTCGCAGGCTGATACTCCCATGACTGATGCAAATGACGACACGGTCCCTTCGGTGCCCGTGGATAGTGCCGACGCGCAAATGACCGTATGTGAAGTTGTTCCTACTTGCTTATCTAGGACAAGCTGCTGCATAGTCGCTCATATGTCTCTGTGCTTTTTTGTCTCGATCCCATGCTGACTCTCTTCTGCAATCTAGAGCCACCGAGACACCCCAGATTACACGGTAAAGATGCCATTGGTCTACAATACGGTGTATTAAAGAGAGGGAAGTCGCTAATTGTTTACAAAGGACTCTGACACAAATCCCAATACCACTGAAAGCAGCGTTGCGGGCGACGCCGCGGCCGATGGACGCAGGCGCAGATCTGAGGCCAATCACCTCAGAAAAAATATCCTAAACAAGAAGCATGGCCGCCTTGATACTACGAAGGTATGGTTCATAACTAAGTTAACCTGACGATGACCTTTGCTGATAAATCATCTCTCGCAGGAGGATGATTCGATTCGCCGATTCCGATACCTTCTCGGTTTAACTGACCTGTTTCGCCACTTCATCGAGACGAATCCAAACCCTGAGATCAAGGAGATTATGGCAGAGATCGACCGACAAAATGCAGAGACGGAGGAAAAGGCCCGCAAGGGCTCCAAGCGCACTGGAGGTGCTGGTAATGAGCGACGCCGCAGGACCGAACAAGAAGAAGACGCAGAGTTGCTACAAGATGAGAAGCAGGGCGGCGATAGCACCACTGTCTTCCGAGAGTCGCCAGCATTTATTCACGGTGAACTCCGTGATTACCAGGTTGCAGGTCTGAACTGGCTCGTTTCGCTACACGAAAACGGTATCTCCGGTATCCTGGCCGATGAGATGGGTCTCGGCAAGACTCTGCAGACGATTTCGTTCCTAGGCTATTTACGTTACATCCGAGATATCAACGGCCCTCATTTGGTCGTCGTGCCGAAGTCAACCCTGGATAACTGGAAGCGAGAGTTCGCAAAGTGGACCCCCGATATCGATGTCTTGGTGCTCCAGGGTAACAAAGAAGAGCGACAGCAGTTGATTAATGAGCGCCTGGTGGAGGAGGAGTTCGATGTTTGCATCACCAGTTATGAAATGATCCTCCGCGAGAAGTCACACCTGAAGAAGTTTGCTTGGGAATACATTATCATCGACGAGGCCCATCGGATCAAAAACGAAGAATCATCGTTGTCGCAAATCATCCGTCTTTTCAACTCCCGCAATCGGCTGCTGATTACTGGTACTCCACTGCAAAACAATCTGCATGAGCTGTGGGCTTTGCTCAACTTCCTTCTGCCAGATGTCTTCGGCGATTCGGAGGCATTTGACCAGTGGTTCTCAAACCAAGATTCTGACCAAGATACTGTGGTACAGCAACTCCACCGTGTTCTGCGCCCTTTCTTGCTTCGACGTGTGAAGAGCGATGTCGAGAAGAGTTTGCTACCGAAGAAAGAACTAAATCTCTACGTCCCAATGTCCGAAATGCAACGGAAGTGGTACCAGAAAATCTTGGAGAAGGACATTGACGCCGTTAATGGTGCAGCTGGGAAACGCGAGTCCAAGACCCGCCTGTTGAACATTGTCATGCAACTGCGGAAGTGTTGCAACCATCCCTACCTGTTCGAGGGAGCTGAGCCAGGTCCTCCTTATACGACCGACGAGCATCTTGTTTTCAACTCAGGAAAGATGGTTATTCTGGACAAACTTCTGAAGCGCATGCAAGCAGATGGTAGTCGTGTTCTTATCTTCTCCCAGATGAGTCGTGTACTGGACATTTTGGAAGATTACTGTGTGTTCCGAGACTACAACTACTGCCGTATCGATGGCACCACAGCACACGAGGATCGTATTGCTGCCATTGATGACTACAACAAACCTGGATCCGACAAATTCGTCTTCCTCCTAACCACCAGAGCCGGTGGTCTAGGTATTAACTTGACCTCAGCCGATATCGTGGTCCTCTTCGACAGTGACTGGAACCCCCAAGCTGATTTGCAGGCCATGGACCGAGCCCACCGCATTGGTCAAACCAAGCAGGTCAAGGTTTTCCGATTTATCACAGAGCATGCCATTGAAGAGAAGGTTCTGGAGCGAGCTGCTCAGAAACTGCGCTTGGATCAGCTTGTCATTCAGCAAGGTCGCTCTGGACAACAGGTCAGCAAAGCGACTTCCAAAGATGACCTCCTTGGCATGATTCAGCACGGTGCTGCCAATGTATTCAACACCAAGGGCGCGGATGCAACCCAGCTCTCTGAAGATGAGGATATCGAGACTATTCTGCGTAAAGGTGAAGAAAGAACCGCAGAGCTGAACAAGAAGTACGAGACTCTCGGCATTGATGACTTGCAGAAGTTCTCCTCTGAGAGTGCATATGAATGGAACGGTAAAGATTTCACCGAGCGGAAGAAGGATATTGGAATTAGCTGGATCAACCCGGCCAAGCGTGAGCGCAAAGAGCAATTCTATTCCATTGACAAATACTACCGCCAAGCCTTGGCCACTGGAGGCCGAACCGCCGATACAAAGCCCAAGGTTCCACGTGCTCCTAAACAAATCACTGTCCACGACTGGCAATTCTTCCCTCCTGGTCTCCACGAGCTCCAAGAGAAGGAGACGGCCTATTTCCACAAGGAAATTGGTTACAAGGCTCAACTGCCCGAAGGCCCCGAAGAGGAGCTCAGCGAGCGAGAGGCAGAGCGGGACCTTGAACAACAGGAGATTGATAACTCTGTTCCGCTTACTGAAGAGGAGCAAGCCGAAAAGGCTCGTATGTCAGAGGAAGGCTTTGCAAGCTGGAACCGACGTGATTTCCAGCAATTTATCAATGGATCTGCTAAGTTTGGTCGCACCGACTACAAGGGTATTGCTACTGAGGTTGACAGCAAGGAACCCCATGAGATTAAGGAATATGCCGAGGTCTTCTGGCGCCGATACACCGAGATCCAGGATTATCCTAAGTACCTCCGAGTCATCGATCAGGGTGAAGAGAAGGTGCGGAAGATGGATCACCAGCGGAAGATGCTCCGCAAGAAGTTGGAGATGTATCGCGTGCCGCTCCAGCAACTCAAGATCAACTACACCGTGTCCACCACCAACAAAAAGGTTTACACCGAGGACGAGGACCGATTCTTGTTGATCATGCTGGACAAGTATGGCGTCGAGGGCGAGAATTTGTATGAACTCATCCGTGACGAGATTCGTGAATCGCCTCTGTTCCGATTCGATTTCTTCATGCTCAGTCGTACGCCCGTGGAAATTGGTCGCCGCTGCACTACTCTGCTGAACACTGTGGCAAAGGAATTCGAGCCCAGTGAGGGCAAAGGCCGCGGACGTGATCGTGATGAGGAGGAAGAGATCGAAGAAGCGCCCCCTGCCAAGAAGAAGGCTAAGAATGGAGCTGCTGTAAGTTTCATCTCATTGATTATTTATTATTCTGGTTCTAACTGTTTCCTTATAGCCGTCTAAGCAGGCCAAGGCTACCAAGGGTGGTAGCAAGACTGCCTCTGCCGCAAGCTCCCGAGCTCCCAGTGCTGCTGCAACCAAGTCTAAGAGTCGCAAGAGGTAATCATGTGGATTTGTCCACTGGTGTGTGTACGTTTCCCAGTTTGCTATGGTTATTCCAAGGTTGGTGATTCGGGTTCTAGGGGGGGGGGGTCAGGATCGGCGCAGATGATATTTTAAAGTACTTTTGTAATTGAAATAGAGTTATTTGTTTTCTAAAGGCTTATCATATATCCCTGTATAATCCCTGTCCACTAAGAATGCCCGTCTGACCGGAGTCCGCATCACCGTGCAGATCGAATACCACCTTCTGCCACGCTGAAACAACACTAACCCTAAGTAATAAGTAATCCGCAATGACGAAATACAGGTTTCTACCTAGACTTTACTGACGAATGAGCCTTCTAGGTAGGCATATTTAAAAGCCATGACGCTTGTCTCAAATACCCAGCTCATTGCATGACATTATTTCAATAGCATAAATAGGCCCAAGCACTAGCCATCCATCCTCAAACCTCCCAACCCATCCACGTACCCCCACCATGACGAGAATCAACCTCACCGCGAACCTAAACTACCAGAAGTCCGGCACGAAGTCGTACTTGCACGCCATGCGCAAATATCGCTTCAACCCAACCAAGGCTGGCCCATATTTCCTCGGCACTAGAATGGTACAAGCCGGCCGACAGTTCACTAATAAGCCCGTGGGAGGACGTGCCCGGTTGCAGCAGGTACTACAGAAGAAGAGCGCCGTTAGCGACGAGGTTGGACAAGTGGATGCCCACGATGTGCAGAATGACTCGATGTATCTTGCCGAAGTTGGTATTGGCACACCTGCACAGACGCTCAATCTGGACTTCGATACTGGTTCTGCGGATCTATGGGTGAGTCCGTTTTTTCTCCGTGTATGAAGGTTTCTAAGATTGTCTAGGTCTGGTCCACAGAATTACCGTCGAAGACTCTATCGGAGAACAAGAACCATGCAATCTTCGACCCCACCAAATCGACCACCTTCAAAGAGAAAGCCGACTTGACGTGGCAGATTAAGTACGGGGATGGCTCTTCTGCCTCTGGTACGGTCGGGAATGATAATGTCAACATTGGCGGGCTAGTGGTCAAAGACCAGGCTGTTGAAATTGCGGATATACTGTCCGCGCAGTTTGTGCAAGGTGCTGGGGATGGGCTGCTGGGGCTTGCGTTCGGTACTATCAATACAGTCAAGCCCCAAGCCGTGAGCACACCTGTGGAGAATATGATCTCACAAATTGATATCCCGAAGACCGCTGAGGTCTTCACTGCGAAGTTGGGGTCATGGCGAGATTCCGATGAGCCGGATAAGGGCGAGTCATTCTATACTTTTGGTTATATCGATCAGGATACGGTGAAGGCCACTGAGGGGGAGATCTACTACACGTCTGTCGACAACAGTCAAGGATTTTGGATGTTCGATTCTGCCTCGGCGACGGTGAATGGGAAGTCGGTTTCTCGGGCTGGAAACAAGGCTATTGCCGATACGGGGACTACTTTGGCACTGGTGGATGATGACACTTGTCAGGCCATTTATGACGCTATCCCCGGGGCAGAGTATGATGATGACAGCCAGGGATGGATATATCCATCCAACACAGCAGCGGATAAGTTGCCTGTTGTATCTTTTGCTGTTGGTGATAAGCAGTTTGTTGTGCAGAAGGAAGATCTAGGGTTTGCTGAGGCTAAGTCTGGCTATGTTTATGGAGGCATCCAAAGTCGTGGCACTATGACCATGGATATTCTAGGTGATACCTTCTTGAAGGCTATCTATGCAGTGAGTGATACATTATTTTGGGAGTTGATAGTCGCATGAGCTGATATGTTAGTTAGGTTTTCGATGTCGGTAATCTTCGCTTTGGTGCTGTGCAGCGAAAGGAGTTGCATCAGAATCTCTCTGTGGCTTCTGGCTAGACATATGCATAATGTAATATTGGGCTGTAGGACTTGCTTGGGACATATTCAGAAACTCCAAGAATTCATATACTACAGAATGAACATGCCGTTATATGCATAGGAAAAGAAATATGCTACAATTAACCAATAGAAAGCAGTTCGAACCACCACGAAGTAAAAGGCGCTTTCATACGAATCATATCATCATAGGTCTTCCCATTTTATGACGGGCTTTATAACCTACACAGATTTTATGTATTAGTGTATTTAATTGAAACATTGATTTTGGAGCACTTACACTTCCAGAGTGCAAGTCTGCCAGCGCTTGCTCAATGGCACCCGGGGAATATATCTTAGCAAGTTTATCAACCGGGAACTTTCCTTGCTTGTATAGGTCAATCAACTGTGGAACAATCTAGACAACGATAGAAAATTAGCCACAACTCAGGCGATCATCAAGAAAGACTCACCACAGTGGGATTCGCGCAACCCTCAATCACACCAACAACGCGTTTACACCCCATCATGAGTGCCAAAGGATCAATATTGAGGGATGAACCAGCACGAGTCACGCCCACAATGGCTAGGGTACCTTCATGACCAAGAGCTTTGACTGCAGCCTCAAGCAGAGGAATTACCCCAGTCGTATCAAGAATACAATCAACGCCATCCGGGAATACATCCAGCAGCCCCTGTGCAAGATCCGATACACTCTTCGTATTCAACGTATGCGATGCACCGAGAGACTTCGCCAGCTCGAGCTTCGCATCAACAATATCAACTGCGATAACCGTTTCAGCTCCTTGAGACCGGGCAGCCATCATAGCCGCCAATCCAACAGCGCCCATACCAAGGACAACAAAGCGACTTGTCGGCTTAGGCTTGAGAATATTGAAGACAGTGCCAGCACCAGTGAGATATCCGCAGCCAAGAGGAGCTAGGACGGCCATATCTTCGACCGTGATTCCGGATCCTGGTGGGGATTTGACGACCGACCGCTCGTCAACTATAGCCAGCTTGCTCATGGAGGATTGACCGAAGAACTGGCCGCGGATCGGGCGCTTTCCATCAGGAAAAGAGATAGGTGACTCGGCCGCACTAAGGCCTCGAGCACCGGCAAAGTTAATGGATGTAATCTGACTGCAGAATCCATTTCGGCCTTTGTTGCAGGGATTGCATGAGTCTTTGTGGCAGGAGCTGAAACTCAAGAAGACAAGGTCGCCTTCTTGGAGGGATGTGTCTTTAACACTACTACCGACACGACGGACGATTCCGGCGCCTTCGTGGCCTAGTACGGCGGGATAATCTCCGACGGGGATTGCGCCCTGTTGGACGACAATATCCTGAGGGTATGTTAGTTTCTTTTGGGAAGCTCATTGCGAAATGACTGATACATACTGTGTGGCAAAGGCCGGTGTATTTCATTTCAACCAAGACTTCATTCGCCCGGACTTCATCGAGAATCACATCTTGAAGGACAAAGGGAGCTCCTGGCTTCTCGACTACGAATGCCGTGGTTGAGATTTGCTTATCTGGGATCATGATGGGCATGGTTTGAACATGGAATCTTCTTGTAGGGTTAATAAAGCAAATTCACAAAAGAAAAAGACAATTTAGGGTTGAAGGGAACTTCTTAAGACAAAGAGACGGGTATTCCCCCGCAGGTCAAGTTTATTCCCCACAAGTCTTCGGCGACGAGTTTCGGTATATCTCAGAGTTTTTATATTGTGGGTATGATTTACCACTCTGATTTTGCTTTGTTGAATGACAAGAATAGCCAGCCGTATAAGCAACCCTGTGATGTCTTTTTATTAGTCTTTTTACTCCGTAGTGGTCTCAGATATCATTCTGTTTAGATGTGCCAATTTTATAAGTCGACAGCAAAAAAAAAGGCGGGAAAAGGCCTTGTGCAATGGACTTTTCTATGTATAACCTCTGATATCAGGCGAAATTGAGGGAGATTCCAAGGTTGGATTCCTCAAGATGATGTGTTAACCCTAATTCGGACTCTCAAGGGAACACTCCAAATCAAGAACTCCAATTATATGTGCTATTGTACAAAGATGCAGTGTAGATGCTAGAATACATATTTAATTACCACATTTTCTCCTTTCCCATATTCTTTTCCATATTCTTTTCCTTCTTGACAACCTCACCCAAAGTTATGGGTGTCCGCAAGAACTTCTCCATCAGTAGCGCGGCAGCGACACTCACATTAAGACTGTCGATGCGGGCAGGATCTGATTCAACGCCTAGGATGGAATTATGCCGGGCGCCTGGAATACTGATGATTGCATCTGCATGCGACTTGATATGCGAGCTCAACCCAGTAGCCTCACTGCCCATCATTATAACACTAGGAGCAGTCGTGATGGGTAATTTGGCACTTTGATCACCATCCGCCGAGATGTGATCCAAATGTACAGAGCCGGGGATTGGTGCATCTGCAGCATAGAATCGCCACCCGTTCTGCTGGGACCGCTGAATAAAATCAACTTCATTTTTCACGTGTAGAATGGGCATATTCTCTGCTGCACCAGCAGAGCATTTGATCGTGAGGGGAGACAATGGTGCGGAGTTGCGACCGGCTAGAACAATCGCATCGACACCCAGAAAATAGGATGAGCGGATGATGGCGCCCATATTACCGGTATCGACCACTCCATCCAATAACAAAACAATTGGGTATCGATGGCGCTGTTCAGTTTCTTCTGGGGACGGAGAAGGATGATGGATCCGGATACGATCATCGGTACCATTTACCGCAGCTTCTTCCCGGGTTTGTGGTGCAAGTTCCGTCCGGAAATACTCTTCGGATATAGATGGAACAACCTGAAGGCCGCGCACAGGTAATTTTGGTAAAGGAGATGCCTCCAAAATGCACCCATTGTGAGGTCGTCCAGCGCTCATCTTGTCCATAAGCCGATCCCATCCTGCAAATGCCATCTTTACTGTAATGTTCTTTGACAATGCCAGTTTGCGGATTGTCATCTTTGCTGCGCTTAGTTCTTCGTCCGTGCTCTGGTAGATATAAAGCTTGTATAGTTGACGCCGACTGCAGCGCAGCGCGGCCTCCACGGCACTAGTGCCGTAAATGAACTCGGATGCCGGTGTGGTGTAGGGGATTGTATCAGGTACTTTGACGTTGTCCTTCACTCGCTCTGGCATGCTGTTCGTGACCCGATGAGCCCTAGGTCTTGCTGGCTCCTTCTCCCGTGGTTCATTCATTGAAGGCCTTCCTCGTCCCGCTTGTGTGAATGAACCGTCTGGTGTTCGTGATTGGACTCGTGACTGGAATCGTGATTGATGTTCACGAGGGAGTCCCCGGAAATCACCAGAACGAATGAATTCATCTTCGTCGAACTCAAACCTTTCCTCCTTTCGGTTTTGTCGTGGGGATCGAGAATTGTCATCCCATGGCGATTGTCGGCGGTCATAGTCTTTGCGGCCGAAACCATCTGATGTCCAGGTTTTTTTCGCTCCGTATCCTCGATCACCCTGGCCGTAGTTCCGATGAGTATTCAATCCTGATCTCTCGGGCTTCTCTCCATACTGCTGCGCTCCGTATGGTCGAGGCTCATTGAAGTTAGATTGACCTGATCTCTCGTATTTTTGCTGTCCGTATTGTCGCGATCCATTTGTTTGACGGTCATTGAATTTGGATTCACCTGATCTTCCGTATTGTCGCGCTCCGTATTGCCCCTCGTATTGTCGTTCGCGCTTAGGAAACCGAGACTCGTTGCCGCGGCGATCCTCTCTGTCCGCATCCGCCGACTGAGATCTGCGAATACCCTCCCCAATTGCTGAATTCAATGATGCATGCCTAATCGTCAAGACTGTGGAACGCGAGGAACTGATCACTCTCGAAAGACCATTCAAGCCCGTTCTTGAGATAGTACTGAGCATCGTGACGAAGTTCCGGCTTTCGCAGATTCTCTCCCGTTCCAACTTGGAGAACTCGATATCGAACTGCGCGATAGGTCTCTGCCCGCTGCCGTATTATCGTTATCGCATCCAAACGCGTAGCGCGATTTCTATATGTGAATCCAGCCGGTCTCGACTTCGACTTTCTTCTTTTCTCAACCTCACCTTCATTCGCCCTTTTCTTTATTCATCATTTCAGACTCATATTCTTTTTAAGCATCCAGTTAACTCAAAAGCTTGCTTGCCTGCCGATTGGATCTCTCAGTCCTGCCATCAATCACATACCTATCCCAAAGCTCAGCTTCATCTCACTGACCTTCCCAATTCTCATCTGTAGGAGCCGCATGTGCGGTTCCTACAGCTTCATTCTCATTTTCTGACTCTGCACGTGATCAGTAAATCACCATGTCTCAATCTGGAGACAATTCTCCAAACTCCAATGATCCTGATGCGATGGCTGCGCAATTGCTAGCGCAGTTCCAGAGATCATCCTCTCAGACGACCCCCGCCATTCCACCTAAGGGTTCCGAAAATGCCCTTCAGCCAGTGCCACAGATCACTGGAAACTCAGAAGAATCAACAATGTCTTTTGAGATCATTGTCCCAGTGGTTAATAACCCTGAGGACTATGAATATTTGCCTGGTCACTTCGAGGTTCATCGCGTTCTTGCAGTCGATATGCATGAGCCAAAGCTCATTGTGAGACTCAAAAGTGGTGAACGTCAAACCGTGAGTGAACGCAATCAGTCATAGCAATTTCAAGCCCCATTTAACTGACTATGCCTTTCACTAGATGACCCTCCAAGAATTGAAAATCCTCAAGAACGGACCGCGAGCTTTACGTGAATTCAACCGTGACTCACAGAGCCCTGATCCCCTGGCAATGGACCACGAACCCATTTCACGTCTCATGTACGCGAGTGGAGATGGCTCAGCAGACTATGATTCAGATATGGATTGGGGACTTGCACGAAGGCGCCAACGGCGTGGGCCGTCCATCTCATACGATCATTTCTTTCGGACTGACGATGAAGACGAAATCGACCACTATGAAACCCACATTAGAGATACCAGCAGCGTGGATTCTGAAGACTCAGAGGAGTCCAGTGATGAGGAGGACGATGATCGTCCAACTAAACGTCGCCACCTAAGAAGAGGTGTACAGAAGAAACGCCGGAATCAACGTATTCGCGAATGGTCTGAAGAGTATTCTGTCTACACAGGCAAACGGGCATCGTCTCGCCTGCGGCAGACTCGTCGACGCGACATGAAAGAGAAATTTGAGGATGACGAATATTCGGAGCGCGAAGTTGAGCAGCCTAAGCAAAAGTTTTCGGGTGCCAGGGAGCAGTTCCGTGAACTACCATATGACAATGACTTCAGACTGTGCCACTCCCAGTCATGTGCCCAATGCGGCTATAAAGATCATGACAACCAAAAAGGGTCTTTGGTATACTGTCAAGGTTGTACAGTATCGTACCATCAAGGTTGTCTTGGCGATCGAAGCAGGCGAAAGCATTTGGTCACTAAGGTTGACGAGGGAGATTTTATTCTTCAATGCAGTTGGTGTTTGGGGATCAAGCACCAAGAGCATGATATCAAGCCTCATTTGGGCCATTGCGTTGACTGTAGAGACGCAGGGCCCATGTCACAGCCTTTGCGAGAGTCTCTTTCTCCTCAAACGGAACAACAATTGCGAGAAGCCAATGATGGCATAGACCCAGTAACCCACATGGATATGTCTCGTGTCAACAATATTGACAATGTCCTCATCAGATGCCTTGGTGGTGGTCATGCTTGCAAGCGAGCTTTCCACATCCATCATCTTTCACACGAGGAACTCGCCGACATTGATCTTGATTCCTGGCAATGCAAGGATTGCTCTGAATCTCCCCCTGGGGCCAACCCAATCCACATGGTCGTTGCTTGGAGACCAAAGAATCCCGAAGTCAAAGTCGTCCCGCAGTTGGTCGAAATGATCCCAGAGATTGATAAAGAATATCTTATCAAATGGAACAATATGTCCTACTTCCGTGTCACCTGGATGACTGGAGACTGGGTCTGGTCTAAGGCTCCAGCCAACCAGATGAAGGCGTTCCTCAAGTCAGACAGATCCACAAAACCAGCCATGACAACGGCCGAGGCTGTTCCCGAAGACAATATGCGGGTGGACATCGTGTTTGATGTGGAATATCACACCAAGCCCAAATCCCAAAATGATCGGGCAAACGGCGATCTGGTTAAGCGGGCGTATGTCAAGTACAAAGGGCTGCCCTACGAAGACGCAGTCTGGGAAGATCCCCCAAGTCAAACCGACACAGCTCGCTGGGAGGATTTCCAGATTGCTCTTATCGACAGGGTGCTCGGAGAAAATATCCACCCTCCGAGGGCAAAGGATCTTCAGAGGCGTCTCAGTGCTGCCCGCGAAGAAGAGTTCGACGAGAGCCTTATGTTGACGGCTCAGCCTGCCTTGGTAACCGGAGGTGAGCTCATGGAGTATCAGATGGATGGTGTGAACTGGTTGCTTTACATGTTTTTCCAACGAAAGAACGCCATTCTTGCTGACGATATGGGCCTCGGAAAGACAATCCAAGTCATCACCATGATCTCTGCATTAATCGAAAAACTGGATTGTTTCCCATTCTTGGTCGTTGTTCCGAATGCGACTGTGCCAAATTGGCGCCGAGAGATCAAGAGCTGGTCGCCGGACGTCCGGGTTGTCACATATTATGGCAGTGCCTTGGCTCGGGAGATGGCCAGTAAGCATGAGATGTTTCACCAGAACGGTACTCTAAGTTGTCATGTGGTCATTGCTTCGTATGAAAGCATGGCTGATGATGGGGCCAAGCAAGTCTTGTCCGGTATCAATTGGGCTGGCTTGGTGGTTGATGAAGGTCAGCGCCTCAAGAACGACAAGACACAGCTCTACGAGCGCCTTCGTCGCATGAAATTCGGCTTCAAGTTGTTGCTCACTGGCACACCCCTTCAAAATAATATCAGAGAACTGTTCAACCTGGTCCAATTCATTGACCCAGCTTACAATGCCGCGAAATTGGAGAACCAATACGGGGGATACCTCAGTAATGAACAAATTAGCGAGCTCCATGATATGATTCGGCCATGTCTCTTGCGTCGAACGAAGGCAGAGGTTCTGCCATTCCTCCCTCCGATGGTGCAAATCATCATCCCGATTTCGATGTCCGTTGTGCAGAAGAAGCTGTACAAATCAATTCTAAAAAAGAACCCACAGCTTATCAAAGCCATTTGCAAGAAACAAACTGGGCAGTGGAAGAAAGCAGAGCGACATAACCTAAACAATATCTTGATGCAGCTGCGGAAGTGTCTTTGCCACCCGTTCATTTACAATCGGGACATTGAAGAGCAAACTCTGGACTCTCAGCTTTCTCATCGGCGTTTGGTCGAAGCATCCGGGAAGCTTCAGTTGCTGAACTTGATGCTACCCCGACTTCGAGAGCGTGGACACCGAGTCCTCATCTTTAGTCAATTTTTAGAGAACCTCACCATTGTTGAAGACTTCCTCACTGGGCTGGGGCTCCAGTACTGTCGCTTGGATGGAAAGTTGTCCTCAAGAGAGAAACAGCAGCAGATCGACCAGTTCAACGCGCCGGATTCTTCATTCTTTGCCTTCCTGCTTTCGACGCGATCGGGTGGTGTTGGAATCAACCTCGCCACTGCGGATACAGTCATAATCATGGATCCGGATTTCAATCCAAAGCAGGATATGCAGGCTCTGTCGCGTGCTCATCGAATCGGGCAAAAAAATACAGTTCTTGTTTTCCACCTGGTAGTGCGCGCGTCAGTGGAAGAAAAGATCATGCAAAAGGGTAAGACCAAGATGGCGCTGGACCATGTACTTATCGATCGTATCGAGGCCGGCCAAGATGAAGAAGACTTGGAGTCAATCCTCAAGCATGGTGCCCAAGCACTGTTCAATAACGATGACTCGGCGGACATTAAATACGATAGCCAGTCGATTGACAAGTTGTTGGATCGTAGCCAAGCCGAACAGGCTCAGCAAATGACCAACGAGGAAAGTTCAACCCCGAATGAGCAGGGGCAGTTCAACTTTGCACGGGTGTGGCAAAAGGATCGCGGTAGCCTCGAAGAGGTGACCGAGACGGAAGACACGCCTATTGACCTGACGGCGTGGGAGAAGATCCTGCAGGAGCGGGAACGTGAAGCGCAAGAGGAGGCCAGCCGCCAAGCCGAAGGTCTTGGTCGCGGTAAACGAAAGCGTGGTACACCCCGCTACAGTACCGTCATCGACGGAGTCGACGATGATGAGAACCCTAGTCCCGTCCGAAAGCCGCTCACCAAGATGCGAAAGAGTACGGATGATAACGACTATGAGTTCCAACAGCCAGATTATGGCGACGAGAGTGAGTCTGACGTTGTGCCTGAGCCAATGGACGTTGCGGAAGATGGCAACACGACTCTGTTTCATCCTGCGGTTGGTCCAAGTGCAACTCCAGATGCTGCTGTTCCTGCACAAACGGCGAACGCAGAACAGCAAGGTAAGAACTTAATTTTCCATGTACATCCTAATTACCACTTATTCTATTTGATTACAATTCCCACCCCCTCATTCCATATTACAGGTATAAAGACAAAGTTTGCTAACATACATGATTCCACAGCTGCCGCACACACATTCCGCCGCGTTGAGTTTCCCCGCCCGCCATCACTGGGTACTGACGGCGCCCAAGATGATTTCCCATCTTCAAAGTGTGTGGCGTGCCAGCACCGCCACCGCCCGGGGCGCTGCTCGCTCCGCTACGCCGGTGTCGAGTTCTGTGGTCTGTGTGGCCTGGCGCACTGGGGCGGCCGCCGGGCCTGCCCTCACCTGCAATCAACAGTGCAGGTCACCCGCATGTTGGAGGCTCTGGAGAAGAGCGTGGAGGCCCCCGCCCTCATCCTGGAGGCAAAAAGATATCTCCAGGGTATCCGAAAGTCCGTGGCGCGCTCTGAGCGCGAACGCAAGAAGGCCTCTCTTGCGGCTTCGGCGGGACCTCAGGTTCCTCTCACCTTGCCCTCACTGGGTGGGGTGAGCACCGCCCCTGTCATTGATTTGACAGAGGCGGGTGCTGAGTCGTAAGACTCAACTCAAGTCTTTCTTCCGCCACCCCAGCGGGGGCACCCGCCCGCTGGGGTGGCATCTAATCACGGTGTGAGAGGAGCTTCGGCTCCTCTCTTTATGCTTCTTTTCAGTTTGTTTGAGTTTTTGTTTGTGTACAAAATTGCATTGGGAGGAGTTCGGTTTGCTTTTCGAAAAAAAAAAAAAAAAAAAGAGGGGGGGACAACCCCCCAAAAGCACAAAAACCAAAAAAAGGGGAGGCGTTGTGGGCATTGTGAGCGAAAGATACCCAATTTTGTTTTTTTAGATTCAATCAATTAGCATGATTACAGTGTTTTGTTGTACAGAGTAGTTGATATACGCATTGCGGACAAGTACAGTGTAGATATTAGGTCTTCAGATTCATTTTCCTATAGAATTGCTGAATAGAGTCTGGCCCTAGAGATGCACATGACCAGAGATCCAGGCAAACATCTATGAACCTTCTACACAATCCTCCAACATCACTATACAATCCAACATGATTGTTAGTGGGTCTAACAAACTAATATATAAAGAAACAAAGATGGAAATACGACATCTCTCTTTTCCATCACTCCACATCTCCCCATTCCCCACCTTCATCATTCAACTTCATCAAACCAGGTTCACAACATGGATCCCCAAAAAGAACATCATCAGCGAAGGCGCCGCCTTAAGCGGGAGTTTGCAGAGATGAACGAAGACCCTATTGCTACTCCGCAGTTGATGCACAAAGACATGCAGGAGTCTGAGGAGCCTGACATCTCGAGAAGCCAGCATCAAGCTGGAGATGCTCCAGTCAAAACACCAGATTATGAACAAGGTTAGTCTGCAAAACTAGTCAAGAATAAAAAGTGGATGCATTAACACCTATATCAATGATGTAGTGAAAGAGTGGTTGACCAAGGTTGAGAAGTATGAGCCTGGTTTGATAGCTGGTCTTGAAGACCAGAAGGTAGCTGTTTATGACGATAAGAAACCATCCACTGAGGACATCGATATGCCCCTGGCCCCCAAAGTCGACCCAAGTGAGGCATCGTTCAAGGCTGAGAAGCCTGATCCTGATTTGCCAGCTGGTCTTGAAGATCAGAAGGCAGCTACTAGAGTCAATCAGAAAAAACCCTTCAAGGATACCGAGATGCTGTTGGCCCCTAAAATCGACCTAGTTGAGCCATTGGCCAAGGTTGAAAAGGCTGATTCCGATTTGGCAGCCAGAATTGGCGAACAGAATTCCGCTACTAGTACCAAACAAGAGCCATGTCGCGAGGATACCGAGATGCCCCTGGCTCCCAAAATTGATTCACTTGAGTCAACGATCAAGATCGAAAAGTCTGACCCTGATTTGGCTAGTATCGGCGAACAGAATGATACTACTAGCGGCCAACAAGATCCATATTGCGAGGACGTTGACATGTCATCAGCTCCCAAAATCAACTCGAATGAGCCGACAGCCAATTCTAACCTCTCTAACTGCGAGCGTAATCTCACGCCGTTTGATTCCAAAGATTCTTTGGAAGAGAAACGTACTCTGGGCTCCGTTGAGTCTTCGGACACAAAACCACAAGGCCAGCTCTGCATCTCCTGTTTCAAGAAATGGGGAAAGCTACTGAAGCCCGGAGAAAAGCTACTGGATTGTCAAACTTTCCATGGAAAATATACCAGCTGTGGACACTGTGTCCGGCGACATTCTGCATGTGTGCTAGTAAGAATACACTCCGCTATACAGAAGAGTAAGCTAACCCAGTGCTAGCTCACACCTAATCTGATAAGAGACCTGTTACGACTGAAGCACGAGATGAACAATGCCTTGGATAAAGGGGAGGTCGCTGAAGAAAAGAAACGATTCTACGATGTTTACCAGAATGTATCCGAGAAAATTGCGCACTTGGACGTTGAGAAGGCAGAAAAAGTCAAAAAATATCGCCAACAATACTACAAGAAGAACCCAGATAAGATCAAGGAATGGCAACGAGTATATCGACAGAATGATGCAGATGAAATCAAGCCAAAAAACCAGAAATATCGACGGAAGAACAAAGAAGAAATCAATCTAAAAAGCCACAAACGGTGCCCCAACAACCCAGATAAACTGAAGGAATCTCAACGAGTATATCGACAGAAGAACGCAGATAAAATCAAGCTAATAAACCAGAAATATCACCGAGAGAACAGAGACACAGTCACGGAATATCAACAGAAGGACAGAGAAAAGATCAAACTAAGAAGACGAGAATGGCGACAGAAGAACAAAGAAACAATCAATCTAAAAAGCCGCGAACGCTACCACAACAACCCAGACAAACTGAAGGAATCTCAACGAGTATATCGACAAAAGAACCCAGATAAAATCAAGCTAAAAAACCGAAAATGGCAACGGAAGAACAAAGACAAAGTCAAGGAATATCGACAAAAGAACAAAGAAAAAATCAAACTAAAAAGCCACGAACGCTACCATAACAACGTAGATAAACTGAAGGAATATCAACGAGTATATCGACAGAAGAACAAAGAAAGAATCAATCTAAAACGCCGCGAACGCTACCATAACAACCCAGATAAACTGAAGGAATATAAACGAGTATATCGACGGAAGAACAGAGACAAAGTCAAGGGATATCAACGAGAATATGGGCAGAAGAACGCAAACAAAGGTAAGCCAACAAAACGAGAGTATTATCAGAAGACCAAGCTCAGAAGACTAGAACAGAGGTGTGAGATAAAAAGTCTGTCAACGCATAAATCAGAGGCCGAACCTAAGCCAAGAAAGCTCAAGCAGGAGAGTCAGATCAAGCAGGAGAGTCAGATCAAGCAGGAGAGTCAGATCAAGCAGGAGAGTCAGATCAAGCAGGAGAGCCAGGTCAAGCAGGAGAACCAGGTTAAGGAAGAGGTCTAGCTGCCAAATTCCTGAGATGAGTTGTAGTAGTGGAGCATGCAATGGGCCAAGGTTGCTAGAATAGCCCTATTAGAATCGCAGTTGAGAAATTTGTCGTTTGTTTTTCCTTCTATGGAAGGTTTATTTGACTCCAAATTTACACTGCATTTCGTGGGTTTACTAAGTGCAAAGGTGTTGCAGCTTTGGTGGGTTGTATGTACGCTGTAGCCAATGTGTTGACTTGGACGTTCGAGTTAGGTCAAGCCATGTCACGGGATTTCTACTGTGGACGACATCCGACACGACGGGAAAGAAGAGAACCGAAAGATATTTGTTGTGTTTCTTTTATTCATATATATTTTTTTTTCATTGAAAGTTTTGGTTTTTGGCTCTAAATATCTTTTTCTGTTTGGGCTTTTCGCAAACCAAATGGATGTGGTGCCAGCCACTTGAAAGCACTTTGTCATATTTTCAAGCAAGTAATACAAGTTTCCCTTAATGTAAGAAAGCAATGACTACATAAGCAGTTTTTTCTCGCATATTAAAGGAAAGTGTATAAGCTCAGAGGTGATATGGTTGACATAAGTAGCCAAAGATATTCCAAAGTTGATGTTGAGATGGGTCGCACTGGGCCGAATGTTAGAAGAGGTATCCTTGGGAGAAAGTTAACAAGGGACATATTTATGATACGCTAAGAAACAAATTATTAGTTCCACAGAGTATATAAGGCTTTAATAAGTGTCCACTATCAGTGGATTCTCCTCGTACCACCTTCTATCCAATACAAAGGACTGGATATTTTCGCGTCTTAAACATGTATAGCATTCAATGTTGATATTTGACATAAGCATATTTGGAGTCAGGGAATACAGAGAAGCAGCATAGAAGGTCAAGTTTAAAATTGTACTAGATGTATTCTGCAAGCAGCCGATCAACCCTGCCAAGGCACACGTTCACGATACCTTTTCAAGCCAAAGGCATTGGACCCCGAATGGCACACAGCTTATTCGTGTCTTTCAGTAGTCTATTTCTCTTTGATATGTAGAAGAATTTCTTTATTTTTTCATTCAATGTACTCTCATTTCCCAGTTTGATAAACTGGGTTGTCTTTGTCTCAATGTGGGAAACCTATTGTGAGATCAAAGATGAACGACCCCTACTGTGTAGCTCTTTGTATATAAGATAGTCTAGTTCATTGTGTTTATTCAATTCAAATATTTCTTTTGATATATAGCTAATTAATACGGAGACAAGCTTCATATTCCTAGGTGATCCCGAAGGTTCTCTGATATATGAGATTGTGTTTCTCCTAAGACTTCATTTTCTGATGATATCTTGTCGTCTCAATTTGTTTGTCATTTGCCCTACAGGGCTGTCACCTGTCACCTGCTCCTTCTGTCGCTTGTCGCCTATCTCATCACCCTCTCCTCCCACAAACGTCTTCTTCCCCCACAATCATTCTTTTCCTCCTCATATCTCTTACCTCTTCCCTTTTCTGTATCACACAGATCATTCTTATTGCACAGCACTATCTCTCATTATTACGTTGACAAGATCTTTTTTTTAGCCATGGCGACTCCTGGTTACCCTCAGTTCTTTTGTACCCGCCCTGATGGGTCTCTGACCCCACTGCTTGCTGCTGATGAGCTCCCTTCCCATATTACCATCCACGGTGTCCCTCGCATTATCAATGCCGGAGAGACCCAGGGGATGACCAGCTGCGGTCTGGCCCCTCGACGCGCTGAACCTTGGTCTGTTGATGGTGTTACCCAGTCCGCTGAACGTGAGGCTGGAAAGGAGCCGTTGCATGATATGCACGGTCTTCTGATGGAGATAATCACCAACAACAATGTGGCTGAGCCCATGCGGGCTTCCGCTCAAGCTCTTCTGATTCGAGGAATCGAGCGTCACGATATTTCCGGCGAGGGGACTCCTGCTAGTGAAATGTCTCCAATTACCCCGACCTTCCATGCAAAGAACCCCCAGATGAGTAACAAGCTTGTATGACTGAGTGCTCCTAACATTTTACGGTTCATATTCTTAACTCTTTCCACGCAGACCTCGGGTTCTAAAAAGGAGTACTGCTCCTACTGGATCCGTCACGGTGAATGTGATTATGCCCAGCAAGGTAACTTACCCAGATGGCTAAGACCGTATGAGGCCTTGACTGACCCTGTGTGACATAGGTTGCCTCTTCAAGCATGAAATGCCTGTTGATATGACCATGATCGAGAAGCTCGGTCTTCGTGACATCCCTCGCTGGTACCGCGAGAAGTACAACGTCCCGAGTCTTTTGCAGACAGGCCATGGGGGACGTCCTCACCTTGCCATTACTGAGCAGATGCCCATGCGTGCCTTGCCGTCCCCAGCTCCTCACACTGAGAGCTGCGCCAGCAAGGTTGCCACCGTTAATGCGAACCTGACCGCTAAAAAGTCCCCAACTCAATTCGACAAATCACCTCCCCGTGGTCCTGCGAACCGTGGAGGTCACAGCGGTTTTGCCAACTACAATCAGCACCGTGGAGCCCGTAATGGGGTCACAAATGGACATCACGCAAACAACTGGAAGAGCACCCACCGCGGTGGTCGTAACCGGAACGTGGGCTACGCCCGCCCTACTATTATTAGCACTGATCGCGATGGTGGGCGCAGCGGCGAATGTTCCCCAGGCATGGGATCCCCCCGAGTCGCATTCGACTATGGTGCCCACGGTTTTAGCGGCAACCGAGTCTGTACCCCGACTACTCCAGTCGCTGTTCCATCTAATATTCCCATCAATGTCTATGCTACTGGCCATCCTGGCACTCCCATCGCTGCCCAGCGATCTCTTCTGGACGATGGTAACTCCCGCAACCAGAATGCATACTGGCCACTCAATGAGCTGACCGAGTACAATGAAGACATGTTCGAGGAAATTCCAAACAAGCCAACTGAACTCCGTCCCCGTCGCTCTGGCCATGTCTACCAGCAAAGTTCGACCACTTCTTCCGATGGCGGTGTGATGCTCCCCACCATGACCTACGATTCGAACTTCGGTGCGTTCGCCCAGGCCGACATTTCTGGTCACAAGCAGTCATCTTCCGACAGTTCCCAAGGTACCGTCAAGGCAAACTATGAATCCTTGACTCCAAAGATCAGAGACCTGCACGTCGGTGACAATGTGCCTTTGACCGCGGCCGAGACTCGTGTCACCTGGGGTCCCATTGGAGGTCCCATTCTCAAGCGCACTTCCCCTCCGGCTGAGGAAATCCCGCATCTGTTTGGATCTTTCCCCAGCACTCCGCGTGGTAACTAGTTCGATCGTTTGACAACTTTCACTCTGGCATGCCTGGCCTGGGGTGGTATTCATGACTCCCTCCCTACATGGTGCCACTCGCTGACACATTTCTATCTTCTTTTCGTGCATCCATGAGATCTGGTGCATCGACGTGGTTTCCTTTCGATGTCAACCTACCAGATAATTACACCATATGATATCACAGTCTTGCTTATACCAAACCACGAAAACGAGTCCGGACATGCAACAAGCCAATACGATCATGAGTGAGAGACAGGGGACGGTTATCAGAATGTTCTTTTTTCGAGATGATTTATGGGTCTTTTGCTATTTTCATTTGTTTCTTTTCACACTCGGGATTGGGGCGTTACACCCATTGTTGATATCGTTGATATGCGTTGGCGATACGGGCAATATGTACCCCTACGGAGTTTTTTCCTTTGTTGTTTTCTGTGGTTTTTTCGTTGGAACTGCAGCAAGGCATCCCATCTGTCATGGATGGGATGTCCTTGCTGGTTCGAGTACATAGCGAAGTCCGCCAATGACTTCGGGGTCAGCCGCCTACAAGTTGGGCCTGCTGACCACTTCATTGGCCTGACAATACCACCAATGTCTTTTTTCTATTTCCTTTCTAATTCTCCAGTAGTATCTACATACTTGTAGGCATTAAAATAAAGACCCATATGAGATAGCATACTAGTAATATACTCGTACAGTGGTGAGTAATATGGACACTACAAGATGGAATGGAGTAACAGCGAGCCGCCAATGCATGGAATAAAATGACTATAGTACATTCGAAAGAAAAGATGCCAAAAATCTTAAAATATGCGCCCGCGCCTCGCAAATGTCTGACAACAACTTCTCAAACACACCCAATATACAGTTGCCGAACATCTATTACCGGCGAGCTACCTTTTTCCGTGCGCCAACCTTGACAGCAACGCGCTCCCGCTCTTCAGCGGCCTTAGCCTGGAGGGCAGGGTTGAGCGAAGGCAGAGTCTTGATAGCTTCAGAGACAACTGTATTACCGTCCACAAGGGCAGGTCGCGTCTCGTCGGCAGATAGACGCTCCTTGCGCCGCGCCGCCAGCTGATTCCGGCGGGCCTCGGTCATGTTCCAGTGTTCGGGGAATTGAAGTCTGGTCTTGTACTTGTGGTGGCGGAGGTCGAGGGGAATATCGGCAAAGGAATCACCCTCCTTGGCCTCCTTGATCATCGAGTTAACGACATCTGTCAGGTAGCGCTTATTCTGGGCACGCGAGCCGAACTTCTCGCTCGACATGCGGATGATATCGGTCTGCGGGTTGTATCGCACACCGGCCAGCTTGAGGAATGTTTGGCGCTGGGCTTCGGTGAGGTACTTGGGGGTCAAATCTTGGGATGCAAGCTCCACAACGACCTTGGGCTCGGCAGGGTGCTGTTCACCCATGTAAGTAGTGTAGCGAAAGCGGAGGATGTGAGTAGGGGGAGGCAGGGTGAAAGGTTTAGCAAGCTCTACAGGTTAACGTCAGTAGATGGAAAGTATAGTTCCGATGAGCAATTGATCTTACTGCTCAGCATTGGCATGTCCCATGCTGTAAGACGGGCATATTCTCTCATTTCACGGTGCAATTCCATCTCTGCATGTGCCATGGACGTGATTTCGTCATCATTGATTTCCTCATCTCCATCCTCGAGTATGTTGACCAACTCGTCAGGTTCGTCCTCGGCCCAGAAACCAGCCCGACGGGGGCGGATTTCCTCGAATCGGAGATCCTCCTCCTTATCGATCTGTAGAATGCTCCTCTCGAGTTGTTCAAATGCCGCGGCGCGCTTCTCGGGGTCGTTGAATTCCGCAACCATGCGGGTGTTCTCTTCGTCGAATGCGGCGCGCTCCTCGGGAGACATCATGTCGTACATTGATCGCTGCTCCTTGGTCAGGAGATCGACGGAGTACTCAGGCATTGGGGGGAAATCTTCCGCTCTGAGTTCCTTCGGCGGAGGAGGAATCACGGGGTCATCCTGGACGCGATTGAGCGGCGAAGCGGAGAAGTACCGAGCGGAGGGGACCATAAAGCCCCTCCGGACCAGATGCCCAGCTGGGCGAGTCAATAACCGAGCTGCTGAGGCCATTGTTGAGGGTATAGCGTGGGTAGGGACAGGATCTCAATCACGATGTTTTCCGCTTCCACTTTTGCGAGGTTCACCGCCGTGCGCTATTCCAAATTCAGACTAGTTTGGTCATACACACGTGACGACGTGGTATATGATGGCATCTTGAGCTTTGGACCATTCCCTCATCTCGATAATGCATCTTTTTACAATTTCCTTATGTGAGGATGATAATTGATTACGGAAGATCCTTCCAAGGTCGATCTATCCACTTCAGCTCAACAACACCGCCACAATGAAGCTATGCTTTGTGACTGTCGGGGCCACGGCTTCCTTTCAGAAACTACTTGAACAAGTACTTAGTTCACAATTCCTCGAGACTCTAGCCAAGCGCCATTACACCCATCTTCTTATACAATACGGCAAAGACGGCCAACAAATCTTCCAAAACTTCATCGACAGTGGCCAGCCCCACCACGGTCTCACCCTTGGGGGGTTTGACTTCCAGCCGAGCATTGATGCCCAAATGATGCAGACCGTGGAAAGAGAGGCCCTTGGTCAAGAGCGCGGCTTGATAATTTGTCACGCCGGTACGATACATCCCAATTTCGCGCATCAACTGAGATCTGATCCACTTACCATTTCACAGGAAGTGGGACTATACTTGCAGGACTTCGCTTGGGTGTGCCCTTGATTGTGGTCCCCAATCCAGATCTTGCCGATAACCACCAACAGGAACTGGCTGATGAGCTAGAGAAAGGGAACTACGTGGTTAGTAGTTCGGTGAAGTAAATACCTTATCTTCTATCTACTTGGCCAGTCTGGCTAACCTCTGATCAGGGATGTGGCCAGTGCAATTGGCAGAGCAGAGACTCAGAAATCTGAGGTATTATCTATGCGATCTGGAAATACAACTCTTGCGGAAAGTATGTCTGACGAGTTGTGCTTTTTGGACTAAAGGAACCCCCTCTAGTGATCTATGAGGATCGATTTCTAGCACTCCGCTTGGTAGATTCCTTTTATCACGAATTATGACATTGCATGAAATCAGAATGGCATCGAACAATCCGTCCGAGTTCGGTCTGTTCGGTCTAGTATATGTAGCAGTCTGATCTGATAGGCCATGAAAAGGATCAATTGCTTTATAAAACTTATCTAAACCACTACCAATGAGTTTTTAACGCAAATATCTAGCCTATATTCTTAGCATATCATGAACTAGTCAATATAAACTTCAATTCTATACAAGTCCAAATTACCTGGCGTGGACTAATGAGTGGCCCAAGCTCCTTGTTGACAATTCCCGATTTGCGGATTTGCGGCTTCGCGTCCACTCCTGAATCAGTGACAAGCACATCCACACCCAACCATCGAAACATTATATGCGCCTTCAATCCACTTCCACTCCGTTGATCCCCCGAGTCGCCCATTCTAGGCCGAGAGGCCGTCTATACCCGCGCTTGTCCTAACCCGACCTCACCTCCCATCCACACCACACTCCCCGCAATGGCTGAGGCGACTCTTCACAACGTGCCAATTGTCATCGACAATGGCAGTGGCACGATCCGAGCCGGCTTCGCCGGAGAGGAGATTCCATCATGTTATTTCCCATCGTTCGTCGGTCGTCCCAAGCACCCACGGGTGATGGCCGGTGGTCTGGAAGGAGACTCTTTCATCGGGTCCCGCGCACAAGAACTCCGCGGACTATTGAAGATCAGATATCCACTGGAACACGGCATTGTCACGAATTGGGAAGACATGGAATCGATTTGGCACTATGTCTACGAAAACGAACTCAAGACCCTCCCCGAAGAACACCCCGTCCTACTCACGGAGCCACCGCTGAACCCACGCGCCAACCGTGATATCGCAGCCCAACTCATGTTTGAGGCTTTCAACGTGCCCGCCTTGTACACGTCGATTCAAGCTGTGTTGTCGCTATATGCGTCTGGTCGAACTACAGGTGTGGTCTTGGATTCCGGTGACGGTGTTTCCCACGCGGTGCCTGTCTTCGAGGGTTTCGCTATTCCAAACAGTATTCGGAGAATCGATGTTGCTGGTCGTGATGTTACGGAACAGATGCAGTTGTTGCTAAGGAAGGCTGGACATGTGCTGCACACTAGCGCCGAGAAGGAGGTTGTGCGGATGATTAAGGAGAAGGTCTGCTACGTGTCGCTCGATCCGAAGCGGGAGGAGAAGGAGTGGATGAACAATTACCACAAGTCTGATGCTAAAGCGCTGGACTACGTTCTTCCAGACGGTCATAAGATTAAGGTATGCGATGTCTCGGATATCATTCCTAGGATTACAATGCTAATGAAACTACCTCTCAAGATCGGCCAAGAACGTTACCGTGCGCCTGAAATCCTGTTCGATCCCGAACTCATCGGCCTCGAGTATCCCGGTGTGCACCAGATTGTACAGGATGCCATCACTCGCACAGATCTCGACCTGCGAAAATCGCTATATCTCAATATTGTGCTTTCCGGAGGTTCAACACTGTGCAAGAACTTCCCTGATCGATTGATGCGCGAGATCAAAAAACTAGCAGTCGAGGATATGAAGATCCGCATTTCTGCGCCTGCTGAGCGCAAGTACACCACGTGGATTGGTGGTAGCATTCTTGCCGGACTGAGCACGTTTAGAAAGGTATGCAGATCTCCCCTTATGACAATTCATAGCTAACTGGATACTCTCCAGATGTGGGTAAGCGCAGACGAATGGCACGAGGATCCCGAGGTGATCCACAAGCGATTCGCATAAAGGACTTACCTATGACGGAAGTCTTTGATATCATGGTGGCCTTCTGCCGGGACCGATCCCATTGACTGTCTCGATCCGATTCCCAAGGTACCATATCCATTCCCCAGAACACAAGAAACAGAACTTGTCAACCTGGATCGATCATCATGCAATTGGCAGTGCATACGAAGAAGTGATCGACCAACACAAATCCGAGTCGCATGCCCGACTCTTGATACCCCATTCCTATCCAGCTCATGTCGTCTTAGCATTGGCTCTGTCTTTATTGCAAATACAGTCTCTTTTGCGTCTTGGGGATTGTTCTAGTCTGGACATAATTTACTCGGACATAGTCTGCATACTTAGACATGGTCTCGTACTTTTCTATGCGTAGTTCTAGATCGTTTCAATAAGACTATTGTATGCAATCCTCTAGGATATTGTATAGTAATAGCAAGTCGTCTTACTCAATCTATTTCTGGATGGGAGGCGATAATTATGAATGTTTGCTTATTCTAGAATTCGCCTCCCATTATGACTCGGCTGATGGCTCGGGTGATGGGTACCCAAATGCAGATAGGCTGCACTTGGTGAGGCAATTCTTTATTTTTAACGAAATATTATTCCTAATATAGGTTTTAATATAGATGGTAATGAAAGAGAATATGTTCCATGGATATGTAGAAACATATATCAAATAGCGGTGGACTACGATTCTCAAAGAAACAAGGCAAATCCATACCAACACCCATGGTCGACCTAAGCAAATAAAGAAAGTAACAAAGACAGGATATTCCAGACCATAGAATAACCATAGAATAACCAAAGAACAACCAGTTTCAACATCCATAAGCATCCACGAATATCCCAACAAAATATCCTGTTTAGCGGCTATCCACGGCTACAACCCTATGCGACATGCATAAGTCTAGATTCGTCATGGAAGTCACCACGTATACGAAATTTACAATGATACAGGAAATAGTGGAAGTAATCTAGCCCGGGAAAACCCAGACATGTAATTCATTCATAACTAGGAAAGACCTAGTTGAAGTGGCGCAGTATTGGGGGGAATATGTTGAAAAGGAAACATTGAACACGGTACGTGCGACAGAAATAATAATAATAATAAAAAACAGTTGACTCCGAGAATGATGCCAGACAATTGTTGTTCGATGGCATTGTATGGAAGTGAATGTTGAAGTGAATGAAAGGAAAACCTGGTTTCCAGAACCTGGCGTGTGATGGTTTGGCATATAGCACAAATAACCAATAAAGAACACAAAACGCCGGTCCCATGAGTGAAGATGTCTCAGAGAAATGGTTCCGTAGGAAATGAATGATGAATTCAGGGTATTTCGCAGAGAAACATATGTATTGTCTTCGTGCGTCCCGTATTAAAAAAAGGGTCAAAAGGAAAACTTTTTAGGTCGTTATGTCGTTGATATCTCGGGCAGCTAGGCAGTAGTACCCTTCAGCTTTCCCCAACCCTTCTCCAGACCGCGACGGGCCATATCACGGGCACGATCAGCCACGGATCCAGAGCTGGAATTTGTAGCAGTGCTGGCGGCAGAGAACTTGCGGCTCAGACTGGAATTGCTGCAGTCGTCACGGTACATTGTGTTACCGGCACCGCCGCGGCCGACGTGGTAGACGGGTGCGGCTTGACGTAGATCACGTTCGAGTTCTTCGTCGAAGCTGAAGATGGCTCGCTCGCTGCTGCTGTGGACGTTGCCGGCACCACCGCGGCCGGAGATGAAGGCTGTTGGGACGCGGGAGTCGAGACGGGCGAGGGAGGCAGGACCGGTTGCGCTACGCGAGTCGGTGGTCTTGGTGTTCTTCAGATTGACGATATTACCACATCCCCCTCGGCCGGTGTAGACAGCTGGACGACCGGCATGTGGGACTGAAGGGTGTGGTTCGACGACGCGGTAATTTGAATAATTTGAAGGCATGTTGTATGTTGTATGTGCTGTTAAAATACTGAAGGTATAAAACAGTGACTATAAAAACTCCATTTGCAGAATTTGCTTGATGGGTCTCAACAAGCGGGGACATTCAAGTTATATAGTCCCCTCCTTTGGAGTCATTTCCAGATCCAGGCACGACATCCAGTCACAAGGTGCTGTGGGGGGGAATTTTTTTTTTTTTTTCTTTTTTAATTTTTTAATTTTTTTTTGACCCATCGTCATCGGAGTAGAATGGCCAGGGATATTACTCTTTTCAGTGCTATGTCAGCACCTGCATGTGTCCTTAAAACGCCCCGTGGACCTGGTTATGAAAGATGATTGGTTCCAGACTTTCTCTAGATGATTTAACTCTGGCTGCTTTTATATAATTGCTTGCTGGGCAACCAAAGTCATCTGACCGGGGGGGTACTCCACCAATAGTGGCAAAACGTAAGAGAAACCCCTTTAAGAACCAATGAGGGTTTTCATTACCCCCAGGAAATGAAAGAAAAACCACTCATTTCTTGAAATGTTCAGATCTCACAATGCGCAGTATAACTCACGTTATCCCTTGCACACACCGCATTCTCACTTTAAAACGTGTCAGGTGTTTTGAGGCATTAAGTATGGAGTATTATACCCGATATACCGGAGTAGACGGGCATAAAATATATATGGTACAGATGGAATACATAAAATACACACGATGTTACCAAATATTGTATTTTACTCCAATTGCATCATTTGCCGGCCCGTGTCCACTTTCTATTTTCAGTGGGTTGTACAACACATTTTTTCAATTCCAGTATTTTCAACAATTGCAAGGGGACCGTCAAAAGCCTAACGATGTACATGTATAATGCAACTCTATAATATGTAGAACCGGGCCGATGAAGCTGAATATCATACAACATACGGAGTATGTATGAAATATCACACCGAAGTGCTGATCGCTGTACGATGACCCCATCGCACCGAAATTTGCGGGATAATTCATCCTTAGCGCCCCCTGTAGATCAAGTCTAGGGCATCGGCTAGTTTGTATAATTCGCTCACCGTAAGGAGTAATGCCCAGGATGCCGAGAATAGCATCCAAAGACTAAAACACCCCCTTGACTTCCAAGGTTATATCAGGTGAGTCTCCGAAACGGAATAGGTAAAATCCGTTGTCCCCAGATGTAAAATGACGTTGAAAAGAAAAATAAAATAAAAAAAAAAGAAAATTTGCAGTCTCATGTGCTCTTTGAGTGGCCAAGAAATCCGAGCGGCGAATAAAACAAATCAGAGATTTCCGTCTGTGCGTTTTCCCCAGATTTTCTCTTCCCCAACTTTTTGGGACCTGCCGCATTCCTACGAACTTGCATTCTCTACTACCTCGGCCATTAATAGGAATTCCATATACCTCACGTGGTGGAAATACGTGTCTATAAGATGCAAATAACATCCCGATCTCCCAATTGGATAAAGAATCAGCACCTGACTTGAAAATAGCCCCTGATATATTAACTATATAAAAATGCGCGATTAAATGAGACCCCAAGGGGTAACATTGTATTTCTGTATCCAATACATCTCTTTCCCTGCTACCTTTAGGGCTAATATCCCCCGCACCCCCCGTTATTAGATAATAGCGCATCTTCATGACACATGATTATCATAGTGGCCAGGTCGAGGCCCGGGACCGGCTGGCGGCTCATAGCCGGGGCTGCATGCCATAGGGCATTTCTAGGCACACGTAGTTCCCTCCGGGAAGTCGCCGAGGTTCATCATTCTTATTATTATTGAGTAATTTCAACTTGCCAATTTATATGTGCTTGTCGATGTGACCTGTTTCCCGGAACTGTATCCTGCATATCGGGTCACCTGTGTTTCGTTTGAGACTGGGGCTAAGCACGTTGGGTTGGAATTTCGGCTGTTATATGTGTTAGGTGCTTTGTCGGGTATTGTTTAGTGAGGTTGGATCGAGAGGGAACGTTAGAAGTTCCAATCCTAGAAGGTTGTCCCGGGGCCATGTCGTATTAGTAAGATACCAAGTCCTAGGCTGTTCTAAGGTTGCTAGATGTTTAGATCTTGTTCAGTATAATCTGAAACACGTTTTGCACCGTTGTAACACAAGAAAACAAGACTTCTGAACCCGGTTGGCAATCGTTTCTAAAATGCTTGTTTGAGATTGGTGAAACATTGACTGTGACATAGTCTGTGACACAGACGTTGAAGTCAGAAGTTCATTTTAAGTATCCAATGCCAAGACACTACTACATCAAGGATCAGAACGTCATTGGAACTCCCAGATTGCCATCTTCCAACTCCATATCTTTTGGAACCCCAATACCAGAGAAGAAGAAACTTTGAAAGCCCGGTTCCAATTCCCATCCTCCAGTTCTGCAGTTGAACCTCAACCTTGCTAACACATAACGGCCGGATCATCAATAACCCTTGCAAGCCAACCCTCTTGCCACAAGATTCTTACCGGGGTATGGCTCATCATCCCTCAGTCGACTGCGAAATGGTCCCTCCGCCTTGACCGCAAAAACAGTGCTCACCATCTGCACCACACGAGAAACATAAGTTGAATGAAGCTTCATCGACCCATCCAGATCAAAAGTGATTTCTCGCACCTGATGTTTCTTTGGGACAGCTCGACAAACAGCCCTCCAATCTGCAACCAGGGTAATAAACTCCTGTCCCTGCGGGTATGTAATATTATCAATGGAAACGTATTCACGAGTCGGGAATGGAAACGGCAGGGCTTTGTAGAATTCGCATACCTCCGGCGGCTTATTGAATGACCAACAAGTCCATCCTGGGCATCCCGGGATCACTCTCGGGAATGGAGCATCTATGAATCGATTCATAGGGACGAGGCGGAGGTGGGTTGCCTTTGGGTGGGATGGGGAATTGAAGTATTCTTCCAGAGCTTTGGGGTCTTTGAAGACGAAGGTTCTGTAGAGGTTGTTTGGGAGGTCGCTGAGGCGGATTGTGGTGGGTGGAGTTTCTGGAGGGTGGATTGGGCTTGCCATGAGGTTGCCGTCGCTGAGGAAAATCAGTAGCTCGGTTTTGATCTTGAGAGTTTCGGCATCCGCGGTGAGCTTGTCAATCTCCATTGTGGGTGTGGGGGTTGCCATTTTGGCTCTATGGCTGAGGTAGATGGGATGGATGAGAAGGAAGACAATGTGATGGTTGGTGTAAACGTTTGTCGTGATGGGTCTGGTGTAGGTGTACTTCCTTAATCTTATCTGATCTAGGGGATCTCACTAGATATAAACTTAAGAGCGAACAGATCAGGAACTAATAGTGATTATGCGCATTTCCTATCAAAAAGAAGTGTATACAACAATCTACATGGATTTCAAATGATCTAGTTCCTAGAATATTAATAACATTCAAGATATCAAACATCTCAAGCTCAGGAATTTGCAAGTTAAGCATCCGACACCCAATGAGAACTACCAGCACACTGATAACTGCCGCTTTGTTTTATCCATTGATAGCCAGCGACACAGACTCCCATGTTCTGTAGCTTTGCCTGATTAGCTTGCTCTTTACGACGGGCCTCGGCCAAAGCTTCACGTTGCTTGTGGAGCGTCCCCAGAATCGTTTCCTGTCCTTTCCTTCAAGCATTTCAAAATTGGCTCGTATGCAAACATTGCTGTATCAACAAGCAAGAACTCCACGTCGTGATAGAATTTTAGGAAAAGAAGAGCAGCATGACCACTGGGGGATCGAAGGTCAGTTCATCGATGTCTCTGCCGATTGAAGCAAAAGCCACAATTTCCTTGTCTCTGATCAAGCAACCAAAGGCATGGTGCTTCACAGACTGAGACGTGTCCTTCAAGTAACTATTGCGACCATCTTCTGAGAGATTGTTGAGTTTCTCAAGGCCATACTGGGCAGTATCACCAATGGTACATGGTCGAAGGTGATTTGATGTTCCACTAGTGCAGCAGACCTGTGGGAGAATGAGATTCTTCAGATGGAAAGCCGGCCATCTCCCCTTCTTTGTACCTTTCGCAATTTGAAAGTCATCCCGGAGCTCCGAGAGCATAGCCTCTCGTAAGACGAAACTGGTTGTCAACATGGCCCGCAATGCGTTGACCACTGGGCAGCTGTGCGATATCTTCAGCACGGCGATAAAACAGTTCTCTCTCCGTACATCCCATCTCGTTGGCCGTAGGAAAGATGGTTGTCATGCGGAAATCGGGAAAGTCATTGTCATACCGACCACCTGCAGTGGTCTCAAGAGTTCTGGAGGGTGGTTGGTTATTTCATCTCCAGGCAATATTTGATCTTGTGTCCGAAGTTTCGTATGTCGACCGAGGGCGAAGAGAAGAGCGATCCATCGTCCACAACTGCCTGGGCATCCGCTCGAATATCCACCCCACAAGAGGGAGGCAACGAAAACAACTCCGTCATCAACCAGCATAGAGCATAGATTGCATGATCTTCTAGTTTTCGAGCGGAACGCTTCCAGAAACGCGCCCCACAGGGTACGGGCTCCAAGTTAATCAGAAGAAGCTGCTCTAGAGATTGCCCGTTGCAAAGGTGTTTGACCTCACGATGGTTCAAGTATTGAATCAACCTTGCAGTATACCCGTTGGCGAAGACCGGGGTGAGGTTGAACCACAACCCATTGGCATTTAGAGCGTTCAGCTCCAGATGACTCGTTGAACGACAATGCAAGGGTCACCCTAATGCAGAATTGCTTCAATTGCTTCAATGAATCGCTTGAAATTATTGAGATCCTGGACTGCTTGGTTCCCACGAACCACGCTTCCAAAATACTCTCCTAGTCGTGTCGATCGAGTGTTTGTAGACATGATAGGCAATGAGATTTGAACTGTAGAACTGTAGAGTTAGCATAGACAGTGGCAAGATAAAAGTTGTCAGGGAAGATAGAAACTAGAAGGTCTAGAAAGAGTCAAGAGATAAAGGCGGTTTGTATTCTAACTCATTGACAAAGCAGGCGGTTACACTAAACAGACCTATCTGCCTTATTGTTTTCCTATATCTTAAACAATTAGGCTATCCGCAGCAAAACCCGACAAAGTAGGAATGGGTGTAGGAATAGGCCAATGTATGAAGTAAATCCGTGACGGGGCGACATGGGTGCCTGCAACACTGCGCGCGCTGTAGTCGCAAGAGATAGCAAATGAAAATCATCCTTTCCACCACCAGTCCCTCTCCTACATTCTTCTTTTATCTATTTGCTACGCTGCTTACCAACCTTTGTCATTGTTGTTTTCTGACCATCAGACAAATCCGACATAATGTCTCTGCCGAGACAGAGGCGAGGACGGACCCCCCAGGTCAGTTCACCAGCTCCTCCACTAGGAGATGTCATTGTCACAATCCAGCACGATGACATCGAAATTCCAGAATATCAAGTTGATACCGAATCTCGAATCACAAACTGCCAGTATTTGACTTCCTACAACTTGCTTGGTGAAGGAGAGTGTAAAATACTTGTTCCAGGTAAGAGATGTCTCATCAGAACGATGGCACTGTTCCCCACATATATGTTGACTGACACTCTACTAGGTGAGCCACCAAAGTGGACACCTTTGTCCGAATCCGATCTTCCTACACTTCAACAAGACACGAGTGTGTATTATCGAGATCTAAATGCTGCGCGACACCCCACCTACCCTCTTGAACCAATGGTACAAGCAATACTGACAGACAAACCTGAATACTCGGTGACCAATGTTGACATTATTGCGTGTAGCAATACAATGAATAACCTGCTACGTTTTGTCCTTGGAAAGGAAAACCCCTTCAGGATACTTGTTGAGGTACTTGGCAAGACAGTCTTTTTCATCCGAAGGGTAAACTCACCCACAGAAACGATTCCTAATGTCCATGGCTATGGGCACACTTTCCCAGAAGCATACACCACGTGGAATGCAAGGGTGAGCGGATCTGAATCTCACCAACGAGTCATGAAGTACGAGTTTGCCGGCATGCAGTGTTTGGTACGTTGTGAGGCAGATGGGTTTTTGCCCGGCCTGGTCCCTGATACCGAGAAAGCCGAAGAAACCCCTGTTCCCCCAAATGATGCTATTGACCCAGAAGAAGAAGATTCGCCGTCCATGGAAGATGTAAGAATTCTGTGTGTGCCCGCAGACACTACAGAGCTTGAGATTGGAAAGGAAGGCCGACATATTCCACAGTGTGCAATCTTTGAACTGAAAACTCGATCTATCACCAAGATCAATCAGCCCGTTCTTAAGCAAGAATTACCCCGGTTGTGGATTTCACAGACTCCCAACTTCATCCTCGCTCATCACACATACGGTCAATTCAACCATATCCGGGTTCAGGATGTGCGAGATGAGGTAAAGCAGTGGGAGGAAACCCTGCAACCGGCTTTGGGTAAGTTTGCCAGCTTACTCCAAATGATTGTTGCATTTGTCCGAGACACGGACAACAAGAAACTTGAGATTGAGCGGGAAGAGGGTGAGCAGGTTCTGAATCTCAGGGCACAAGGTGGAGTTGTCAATGGGGTCTTGTCCCCGGCTGTGGCAAGCAAATGGGACATGTAAATTGGCACTCATGAAGACAGTCTCTTGGCTTAGAGATCTGTACTCTAAGTCAATTCAGAATACGTTCAATGCAATTCCCTTCTCCCATTGTAGCGGTACTTCTATGTCTCTTTACTCTCATTCTAGATAACTGTAACAAACGAGACAAAGACACCCAAAACTAACAGCTAAATAAGACATTGAAGTGTTATCTTAATATCATATCCCCGCATCATCTCAAGTCACATTCAGATGACTAAAGTCTCACATTCGTCGTGACGGACAGGGCTGCATATCGACTTCTGTATAGTAATGAGTGAATGGATATCATATACATTTGGCTGAAAGATGTACCTACCTCGATTTCAAGTGTTAAAGATTTGTAGGACAACTCATACCAGCAAGTTAGAGTTTACATCATTATTTCGATCACAACAATTCCCCTGAGCGAAAGAGAGAGAGGTGTTGTCTTAAGTTGGAGACCCGATGCGATAAGACAATATTCTGCCACTACCTACCGCCTATTCAACTCTCGCCATCGAGCTCCGATTGACTTGCCAATCCTGCTAATTCAATTTCTCTCTTATCTGCGTCACCAAGACTTTACTTCCAATCATCAGCCGAAAACTCGAAATTGCAAATCAGGGAAATTCCTGCTAGCCAAGATCCCTGCTTGCTAAACGAAACCAATCCCGGAAGGGAATTTTCCTCTTTCGCGCGACGACAGCAAGGTACTTGCTGCAGAAACCGACAAGATGCCAAAATATAAGTCCCCCAGGTCTATGTATTTCCAACTCGAAGCTAACTTCCCATGCACTCTTCTGTAGGTTTTGCCCCAAATCCAGGTCTAGACAGACCAACCCGTATCATAACCTATTGCGGGCACAATGCGATACGACGCTATGCCCTTCCATATCGACTACAGCCTATTGAGCCCACATCCTTGGACTGGTTGCTAACTCCCTCAATTCAACATATAGGCGACTACTGCGATGTCTATCTGACGCACGACTCGATGAGCGTGCGCAAGGCGCATAACTCCGGCCGAAACCACCTGAGAAACGTGGTGGACTACTACCAACGTACGTCTAACCAATAGCGCAGCAAGACGCGCGAAACACAACAGCCGAACGATAGCTAATCACGAGAATCTGTTACAGAGATTGGTCAAGAAAAGGCCCAGTCCGTCATTGACTCCATCACCTCCTCCTACGCCGCAGAGGGCCAACAAGCTCCCAACATGATGGCCCCCGGCGCTTTCCCGCCTCCCTTCGGATTCCCGGGTACGACTGTCTACTCATACTCTCAAAAACCAACACAAAATTAAGCTAACATTATCATGACACCTAGGCATGCCAGGCATGCCCCCTCCCCCCTTCGGAATCCCCCCACCAGGCGCACCCGGCGCTCCAGGCATGCCCCCTCGTATGTCTCACCCAGCTCCACACCCGCATTCCCGCAAGAACAGACCCTTCTGGCGACGAGGAACCCGTTATTACCCAGGACAATACGCTAATGAATTTCCGTTCCCACCAGCCCCAGGAGCCCACGGTCTTCCCTTCCCGCCGCCCTTCCCTAACGCCGGAACCCCGCCAACAGGTGGCTTCCCACCTCCTCTCCCTAACATGCCCCAGGGCGCAAACCTGCCGATTCCACCTCCCGGCGGCTTCCCCAACTTCCCCGTCCCTCCTCCCGGCGCTACAGGCTTCCCGCCTATGCCTATGCATGGTCAGCCCCCTGTGGGTCAGCCACCTATGGGACCTAGTGGTCCTGGTGGTCCATCGCCTATTCCAACTGGACCTCGTGGCTTGGAGGGATATCCTCCTCCCCCTGGAGGTGGGAACTCCGGTAGGATGGAGCAACAGTGGTGATCATTATGACTATCTGGGGGGTTCGTACGTGGTTTGTTTCTGATACCTAATCTTTTGAGGGGTTGTGTGGTGCCGTCGGCATGGCGTCTCTAAGGGTTCTTTTTGCTCCTCTTTACTGTTAATGTAAAATAGCGGTTTCGTTTTTATCCCTTCTCTTCGTACGTTGCATCTCGTACAAGATGGTCTCTCAGGATTTTCTGATAGCGACAGGCATGACTTTTGTCAGTTATGAAATTGAATTCTTTACGAGAGACCCAAGGCCCTGAGAGTTGGAGATGGACATTGTAGAACAAGGGAGCAAAAAGAACGTCCACATCAATAGGTGTAGACATTGATTCAGTATTTACACTAGGACTACCTGCCAGCAGACTGGTATATAGGGTAAGTCATGCTGAAACCAGAAATTGGAAATATATTTCATTGGCAGCAGACATACTGCAAAGCCAACAAAAAGGAAAACAGAAACCCAAGGCCGATCACCATATCCAGAATGCATCAAACGCCGAGCGGAAGTAAAAATAAAACAAGGGAAATAGACCACGAAAGGATTTGGGCCAAGGAGGGAAAAGGGAAAAGACGAAGTAAAAAAGGAAGGGATAGATGGCAAAAAGGGTCACACCATTAAGCAATGGTAAGAAGAGAAGTTTATCTGAAGCGACGAGGATGCTGCAGACTTGTGCAGAAGCAAAAAATAATAAAAGAACCCCGAACCCAGAGGAATGGCGATTGGCAAAATCATAGACCATCGGTATCCCGCGCTAAAACAAAATCACATATCTTCATCTCAGAAGCGACAAAATAAGAGTCCACCAGCCTTTTTTAATGGTCATAGCCCGCACCTCGTTGCCAGGGACTGGCACTGTTCTGAGTTCGATAGGTTGCCGCCGACAAAGCAGATTGGCCAATAGGAGCATTGTTATCAAAGCCCCTGCCAGCGGGTGAAGGGGCTCGACCGAAATGGTCGTACCCGGGGGTATTGTGATGCCCAGGTGCATTACTGGGGAATAGTGGCACCGATGGGTCAACGGGTGACCGAGGCGCTTGGGCGGCAGAGCCGTGTGGTGGGTAGGTTGATTCCATTTGGCGGCCGACGGTAGCACCATTTCCACTGGAGATAGAAGCGGTATCATCGTCGAATGGGCTATTGTTATTATATTGCCCAGGCTTCATATCACCGCGAGCTGTAGCACCCAGGGCATCCAGCTCAGTGGTCAGCTGGGTCTGGGATTTGATGAAGGAGCCACGATCGTCGCGCATAGGCTGGTAACGAGTATCGGGATTCTTGGACACCACGGCATAGACCGAGGCGATCAGAACCAGAATCAAAAGGACAAAAGCAAAGATACAATTGTAAACGAAGAAGATGACACCCATGACACCGATCATCAATCCGGGGGGGTCGAACACATCGGAGAAAACGAGCACGAAGATGGAGTTGATGAAATTGATCACAGCAATAGAGATGTTGAAAACGTTGGTCTTCTTATCCATCCAAGGACGGAGAATGCAGACAGCAACCAGCATAGCTAGCTCAAGGATCACCAAGGCTACAGTCTGAACGATCGGTGCAGGCTGGCTCAGACCGATAAACATGCCCTTGATCAAGGTGTAGACGAGGAATGGAACGACGAAGTAGTATGCCGTTGCTCGGTACTGCACATATAAGAAGCCCCACTTGTTTAGACACGACGGGTCAGAGTAAAGGATGTAGGCCGGGTTCTTGTGCATGGTGACTGAACGCTTTGCCAGCCGGATGACCTTCTGAGAGGCCCACCCAAGAGAGACTAGCATAGAAAGAAGCATGACAGCTGCCAAAACAACCTCGGCCGCCGAGTCGCGCTGGGTGAACTCCCAGAGGCAGAGTACGGTCATTTGGGGGAAACCAATGAGAGTCAGTCGGAACAAGATACCGCGCAGAACGATCTTCCATCCATTGCGGAAGTCCTGGAACCGGTCGCTCTTCATCTTGCCATGTCTGACAAGTAGCTCGGTAATTCCCTTGAAAGCTGCGACGATGATGACAACAATGCAGGTGAAGACTGAGAAGAAAATCAGGCCAGTGAGGAAAATGTTGGTCTCCTCCATGTTCGCACGGAATCCAACACGCTCGATTCCTCGAATGACGAGAAGCTTCTGGCTCGTCTCGGACCTCTTGATGAGACCACTTGCACGCTTAACTATCATTGGTCCGGCGGCTCTCTTCAGGAGGTCTATTGCTGGATCAACAAAGTCACGCTTGCGGCGCTTGAGCACTTCGACCGAAGTATCCCCAAGCTGTGACAGGATTGTCGAGGGAGTTCCACCGGTTGCCCGCTGATACCAGGTAGCAATCTTCTGGATGAATCCCACGCGGATGATACCCATGCTCCATTGGAAGTTCTGTGTCCAGGCTTCCACGATCGGGGGCATATGAACGGAGGTCATGCCAATTATCGCTTGTGACTGCATGAATCCGAAAAGAGAGAGTGCATTTGCCGCGACGTGAGCTGCAGTGTTAGAATGGCCTAGCCCGGAGGTAATGGCGGATGCAGCGAGACCTAACCCGGAAATGACAGCAGTTGTCCAGGAGACTCCGGCTTGATTAACGGTCTTGCCGTTGGAAAGCGAGGCCTGGACACAAGCAATCTTTTCAAGAGTGTCGGCTGTCTTGATGACAATTCGCACATTTGCGTCAAGATCAGGCACAGTGTAGGCAATACCAGGAACGTTCTTGGAAGTGTCCGCTGGCAGATCGAGAGAAAGCGGTCCCAAATCCATGGGTCCAGCGGCCATGGGACACATGCCCATTCCTTCAATTTTACAAGGATTAAGCTCGTGCTTGTATGCCTCGAAGCCATACGCGGTAAGGGTCATCTCCGCAACAACCTTACCCTCGATGTATGAGACGCCATCGAAGCCGACCACAAGAGAGTTATTTGCCGGGTAGAAGATGACGCTGAAATATGTTGCTGTGAAGTTGCTACTTTCCATGCACACGCTGAGTGCATTGGATTCAAGGAGCTGAACGGCGGAGGCTAACGGTGCCAGAAAGGCGACGAAGCAGGTGAGAAGCGATATTAACCGCATGTTGGTGTGTATTCGATACCAGGAAGGAGGTTGCGAAGCACAAGGTTTTCCCAGTGGTAGATCAGGGCGGGAAGAGATCTGACGGCTATTGTGTCAGTGGCACTCCAGAATACCACGTTACCAGCCGCCGGATGCGGAAATAGGTGTACGGTTGAATATTTTTGGATCGCAGTGGGGGCTGAAATATTTCCCAATGTCTCCTTGGACAAGGTGCTGTGTTTGGCGCAAATTGTCGGAAACTCAGGGTTAAGTCAAGGTGTGTGCCTTTTCACTGGGGCATTGAATATAAGCGGAGCGTAGGAGTAGTCGTAAGGGGGTTTATGGAATCGGAAGCTGAGTTTGCTGAAGTTGCTGAATGGATAAACGAGAGTATGTCACTTGAATGAGAGGATCGAAAGAGCGAAATGTCGAGTGAGTGGACTGGCGATACGCAGTATGGCCGAAAAAGGAGTCAAAGAGGAAGAGGCTTGGAAATGGGATGAAAGTGGTTTAAATGTAGACACGAAGCCTATAATCAGAAGAAAAAAGAGAGACAATGAGAGAATGAAGGTGAGAAGAAGTCTCAGGGACCAGGGACGAGTCGACAAGGGTCCGTGGGAAAAGACACTGGACAGTGACCATCGCCATTCAGGTGCACCTGGCAAGGTATGCGGTAATGTATTGTAAAATTACAGGGGCGGCTAACTGAGAACCAATTAGAATTTTGCATTGTCTTGTATTGATGTTTGACTTCGTTTCGTATAGCCACCCACTGGCACCTTTCCCCCCCTTCATATTAGAGAATGTCGCCTCCAGGGTTATATCAAATGTCTCACTTGCTTTTTTCCCTTTATTCATACTATTCACTCTATTCTATTCACTTTGTTCTCTTTCGAAGAATCTCTCTTTTCTTTCCTTTTTTTTTTTCCCACATACGCCCTGCCGAAAGCGGTTGATCGTGGCGGAATCAGGCGGGTCCTTTATTATTAGCAAGAGACAAAGTCGGATATGCCAATATTAAATGCTCTCTGAACCAAAGGAACGGTTGCCCCCAGCTGTGGAGTGTGCCGCATACAGTGGACCGTTACGTATAGACTACAACATACGGAGTACGGAACAAAATACAAATTCTCATTGTGTCAGTATTTCGTCTGCCTATTGAACAAATTTGAATTCTAGGTCCACCCTTTATAACTGCCCGTGGGTACTACTCCGAAGTTCTCCTGGTGGGGCCCCATGTTAGCTGCCGCTTTTATGACCTGGCGCTTCTGAATTTGGGTAAATTTCAGTCTGGACATTACTGGGATCACATGATCACATCTATTTGTTGAACTACATATTTCATCCTAGATATTATCAGACAATATCCTTCGTCAAAGTTGTTGCTAATACTGAAGAAAGGGTTGAAGGCAATTAAAAATATACGCTTCTTCATCATGTTTGGCCATTTTCAACAACTTGCTCTGCGTTGCTTTCTCCCAGCGAAAGCAATACTGCCCTAGATCCATTGCAGTGCATCCAGATCGCATACCTGTTCTTGTATGGGCCAGCTCAAAAGGCATACTATAGTCGGGTGCTGTTGGCAAATTCGACCATATAAGCTGGTTGAGCATTGAGATATCGTTCTATACCCCCGTCTCGCCTCTCATTCAACAATTTACGGGATATTGATACTCCAGAGTCTATTCCACAGTTCAAGGCCACTCCGGGGTACTCTATCCCATCTCCATATTTCGGTCCCAGGAATACTCATATCGTTTAGGGGATAAGCTCGTATAGCATGAGAATACGAGGCATGGCATACGATGTCAGTCACGTTATCTCCGTTGTCTAGCAAATGCTCCTTTCCAGATACCCAACTACCCAATCGAAATCGAAGAGAAGGATCTCTCGGGTTTAACGGTAAAAACAAGTCAAAACGTTGATCTACTTCAGATATGTGGGTGATTGGCTAA